TTAAAATCAATAGTAGTTAAACAGTGTGCCTAAATAATTTTCTTTTGGTTATAAAATTAACTGTGGTCTAGTTTTAAATACTGTCTTCTAAATTTTTAGTAATGATCTTTTATGTTATTATTTAATTTTTCTCATGCTTGTACATATTTAATATCTTTTCTGCCAACTTTATGAGAGAGTGATCAGGTAGGCCATTATTATACTAAATTCACAAGAAATAAATTTGTCTAAATATTAAATATATGCCTTCATTCTAATTCTTAAGCATACTACAGAATTCCAAGATTGACAGAAGGCTTGAATGACTTAAAAGATGTGTTCATAAAATATGTTTTCAATTTGTACCTGGAGCCTGTCTTAACGTTTTGAATCTCAGTACTGATAAGGGTTTCTCTACAACCTAGAGCTCAGAAACTCTGTTTGCAGCTCTCCTGGGTGCTCTGAGATCATCTGGAGTGGATGCACATTGATACTTGGAGGCTTCTGCTTTGTGTGAAAACATGGCAATCGCAGGTGTAATACGAAAACAACATTGGAAGAGATGTAGCATGGATAGAAATTAAGATCCATTCCTCTGTGGATGGTAAATAGAACAGAAGCATAAAATAATGAGTTGGCGCATATAGGGATCCAACTGCAAAAATAAGCGAAGTGGCTGAGCTTGAACTCATCTGAGATGATGGAGATTAAAAATTGCCCTCACACACCCTTTCTGCTTGAACTATGTTTGGAACTTCTTGTAGAAGGAATCTGGAAAAGCTTCTGACTGAATACTTAGGGCCATAGCTCGTATGAATTTGCTTATGATGGGGAGTGTGGAGGAAGTGGACATAGCCTCGCAGCCAGAAGCTACACTATGTGAAATATTCCTGAGATCACTGAAAGGGGACCCCACAGCTGTCCTTGTAAGAACTGGGAATCCCGATGGACTTATGGAGACAGTGTCAGAACTGCCTGTTAACAAATGGTCAGAGTAGGCAGAGAGAGGACAGGAGAAGAAAATAACCTTCTGCTTATGTGTACCAGGAAACATTATATCTCCCTCAGAAAGCTAGTAGAAAATCATTAGGATGTAAACATTCCTTGCCACCAAATTTAGAAGGACAGCACAATCTTTAAAAAGACTTTAAAATGGGGGCTGGCAGGTGGCATGGTGGTTAAGGCGCTGGACTCCCACATGGGTGACCATGGTTTGAGTCCCGGATGTGGTGACTTGCTTTTTCACTCTCTCTCTCTCTCTCTCACTAGTCAAATTGAAGAATGACAAATAAATAAATATTAAATAATTCTTTTTAAAAAATATGGCAAAATATATTTAATAGCTTCAATGTTGAGATAAAATAATATTCATAAGAAAATATTACAGAACAAAACCAGGAAAAAGAAAAATAATAGATTTACATGAGAAAGAAACAATATTCTAGAAATTTTAGAGAGTATGTGGGATAAATCTTAGGCAGGATTCAAATTAGTTAAAGGAAAGGCAACTATAAATTTATAGCTAATATTTTATGATCACTTACTTTATGGCTTGACTTTGTTCCAATGCTTTTAAATGTATCAATTTACTTGATTCTCAAAATATCTTATTATTTACTTTATGAGGAACTCAGGGTAATTAGCTACTTGGAAGATATCTTAATTAATCCGAGGTGTCAGATTGTTAATTCTGTTTATCAAGTATTTATTGAGTACTCGCTATTGTTAGGTACTGTGCCAGCTCTTCTGTAGATACCAAGTGGTGTATAGCTAGATCTTTGGCCTGGAAAAGTAGCAAAGACAAGTAATTATAAGTAGACAGATAGTTACTAAAGAGATTATTGCCTAGCAGTATTAATATTAAATGTGTCTAAAATTATCTGGTAACAAAACATTTGCTGTGACTTAAATCTTTGGTTTCCTAGTTGAGCAAGAGGGGATAACTGTTAGATGCAGAAGAGGCTTAATGTATAGTAAATTTACAGGAATTCTGAGGAGCTAGAAAACAAATCTATGGCCAGAATTTGGAGGCATATTAAACTATGTTGAAGTACTTGACCTTTATTCTACTATTAGCACAGTGATTTTCAGACTGTGGTATAGGATAAGGGATGTGTGTTTTTAAACTTTTCCATCCTATCATGGACTGATAGCTTTATAAAATACAGTAAAAACGAATTACAAATAATTGAGTTAAAGCCATACAAGTTCCAAGGTTTCATTTAGAGTTAACATAAAATTGTACAATTGCTATAAAAGTTTGTAAAACTCAGGTTCTGTGCTTACCGAATCAAATATTAGTAACAGATATTTAATGTCTAGTAATTTTTAGACTAACACTGGCCTGTAGAACATTCTTTGAGTGATATTGATCTCCTAGGTGATATGTAGTCTCTGCAGGTTTTTATTTATTTATTTATTTATTTATTTATTTATTTATTTATTTTTAATAATGCCATTTGGATTACATTTTTTTATATTTAATTTTATTTATTTATTTTAATTTGATAAAAAAATGACAGAGAGAGAGAAAGTGAGAAAGCAAGCTGCCAGTTCTAGGACTCAAACCATGGTTAGCCATGTGGGGAGTCCAGCACCTTAATCACCATGCCACCTGCTGGTCCTGGTCCCTGCTGGTTTTTAAGTGAAGGAATAGTATGATAATATATTTTTTAAAAAATTTTAATTTACTTTATATATTTAATCATTATACGTCACTTAGCTTATAAGTTGAATTTGCCCAACATGAATACACTTCACACCAGTCCAGTTGAGGATACAAAACACTTTATCATTAACAGATAATAATCCATTTCTGTGTCCCATAAATGTCTTGCCTCTCTATTTTCCTCCTTAATTTCTTTCCTTACACTCTGCCTCTTCTCCTACCCTCTTCCCACATTGCCTCCAGTATCGGTAACCATTTTCAGTGCTTCTGTGTCCTCTGATCTTTGTTTCTACCATAGAGTGTGGACAGTCAGTGTAAGTTAAATGGAGACACACAGTGTCACTCTTACATAGTGTGGCTTGCTTCACTCAGCGATAAATCTTCCATATTCATCCACTTTCTATCGAATGCCAGAATCTTGCCGGTTTTGTTTAGCCTAAGTATTTTTTTGGCAATATGAGTGATAGACTTCAGCCTGGATGGATAGAAACCAAGGAGCCTTGAATTTCATTTATTTTCTGCATAGCTCTGTTATTCTCTATTTCATTTATTTCTGCTCTAATCTTTATTATTTCTTTCCTCCTGTTATTATTTGTTTGTTCTTGTTATTGTTTGTTGAACTTCCCTAAGGTGTGTTGTTAGCTCGTCTGTTTGCCATTTTTCCACTTTTTTTTTTTGTTGAGTCCTGGAATTGTGAACATTTGAGGATAGCTGGAAGTAGAAAGGAAAGTAAAGATGACTGACTTACATTGATAATTCATGTGGTAGTAATTTAATTCCCCTCCTAGGCTATAACTTCATGAAGGTAGGGAATATATTTTGTTTTGCTGCTAAAATAAAGTAGACACTTTAAGCAATATTTGATGGGTGAATGAGTGAGTGGGTTAGAGAGGTAAAGGTAGAACAGGAGATAATGAAATGTTTAAAAATAGAATGAGAAGAATTTTAGGCTGGAGGATAAAATAAGCAAGAATTAAATGCATCAAATCAAGGATGGTAAATTAATAGTTAATGGATTTACAATTCAAAAGGTTTTAGGAAGATAACTTTAGTAGTGTGAAGTTAGAACTGAGAATATAATGCACTGTCCGTCCTTGTTACTTGTTTCTTTAAAATATGACACTTCATTAATTAATATTAATTAGTTCATTGAAGAAGAAAGGTAGAGTGATAAATAATCTTGACCATCCACTTAGTGTTGTGTGTGAATATAAGGACAATCATAGATATATATGTTTTTTTCCATTCCAACAGGGAGAATAAATCTGTTAATTGAAATTGACTTTTAATGTTTAAGTTTGATTTGAGAAGAATCCTGAAATGTGAATAATTTGCTTGGTCTTGCTTCAGACTGATTTTTAATTAACTTATGTCCTAGTAATCTTTCTTTTTTGGAGAGGTAATTGCTATAAGGCACGCGTGCTCGCCAGAGAGACAGAAACAGACAGAGAAACAGAAAGCAAGAAACCACCCCCTGGGGGAATGACCACGCTGCAATCCCTTCTCCTTCATTCTCCGCTTAGGATTTTGGGCAAACACACAAATAGGCCCGGTATGAGTTTTAAGCCTCTGGTCTAGGATTCAAACTGCAGTCTACTCTGTGGGAGTCCAGCTATGTAACCACTATGCCATTTGCTAGTCCCATGTCCTAGTAATCTTTATGGGATTCCTTATTAGAATGTTTCCAGTAACATTTCATTTTCATATGGAATAAAGTTTACTATTATTCTAGACTATATCAGGCATGTGTGTAGCTGCAAGTTTGTGGGAAAAAGATGATTACTTCCAGGTACAGTTGGCTGTTTGTATGCACAAGTTGCATAGTTAGCCGGTCCAGCTACCTGTTGATGGAAAATATCTGTGGACAATTGGCACTTTGTCATCTTTTAATATCATCTAGATGAAAACATTATTTAAGAAAGGATGAGATAGGGAATCAGCAGATATCGTAATGTCGCTGGGCTCCCATGTGGTCAACTGCAGTTTGAGTCCCGGACCTGGAGGTTTGGGGTTAACACCTAGCATGTGTGTGCATGCCCAACGTCCCCAGGGGAGAGTGGAGGAGAAGGAATTGTGGCATGGCTGTTCCCCCTGGGGGGTGATTTCTTGCTTTCTGCTTTCTGTCTCTGTCTCTCCAGTAAGAACACATGCCCTAAAGCAAAAAAAAAAGAAAAAAAAAGAAAAAGAAAAAAAAATTCGCTCTCTTAAAAAAAAAAAGGCAAAATAAACTTTGGGTATTTTTTCCATCCTTTTCTAGAAACGATACTCCTTTTTCAGGATAGTAGGTAATGAAAATCAAAGAGATTTAAAATAATATAATAATTAAAATTTTTTTCTCTAAATCTTTCCATAGAATAAAGACCAGCAAGAAGTGATTCTTGTCAGAACAGATCAATCTGGAAGAGTATGGCCTGTGAACACACCAGGAAAACCTCTGGAATCAAAAGGAGGAAGAAGGAAAAGGCAGATGGTATGTTTAATATGTGTCTTTGTTTATGAATTTAGAATTCCTTTTCCCCCTTGGGAACATCAGCCTACAAAATATTTTCTGAAATACAGCTTTCTTTTTTAATGGGAATTTCTTTGCATCAGCATACTAAATATTTTCTGAAATACAGCTTTCTTTTTTATTTTAATTTTTTTTTTCATTTTTCTGTGTGTGTGTTTGTGTGTGCTTTTTTTTTTTTTTTTTTGAGATAGTCTCTCACTTTGTTGTCATACTTCTGCCTCTTAGCCCCTCATGCAGCCAGGACCACACTTGCACACCTCTACCCCTACCCCCCAATTCTTTTAGACAGAGTCCTGCTATATTGCCCATACTTAATGCAAGCTGACACCCTTCCACCTCAGCCTCCTGAATACCTGGGACCACAGGTGCATGCCACCATGCTTGGCTTTTTGGGTGGGTCAGGAATTGAACTCGAGCCTCCCACGTGGCCTCCCTCTGCTAAGCAGCATCAGTGTCAAGTGTACACTACTTTGGCTGGGCCTGAAATGTAGCTTTCTATGATAGAAAGCAGGAAATTATATTATTACTTTATTCTTACCTTTTATAAGATGGAATCTAATTTAACTGTATTTTTTCAAGCTGTCGTACACATTGAATGTTTGAGGCAATTTTAATTTAATTTAATTAAAATTATTTTATTTAACTTTATCCATTCATTTATTTCAATTTGACTAGAGAGGGATAGAGTGAGAGTGAGAGAGAGGGAGAGAGAGAAAGCAAGCTGCCAGGTCTGGGACTTGAACTGCAGTCACCCATATGGGAGTCCAGCACTCTTCAGTACCAAGCCACCTGCCAGCTTCTTTATATATATATTTTACTTAACATTTTTTTTATTTTCCATACGGCATGTGCAGTCACTGGAGAGAGTCAGACAGAGTGAGGAAAAGAAAAAATACCCCCATGGAACATGGCTATGCTGTACTCCCATTTTTTTAATTTTCCATACGGCATGTGCACTGGAGAGAGTCAGACAGAGTGAGGAAAAGAAAAAATACCCCCATGGAACATGGCTATGCTGTACTCCCTTTTCCTTCATTCTCCTCGGGCTTTTGAGCATACTTACTTGGTGTGTTTATAAGCTGCTAGATCCAGAACTTGAACCGTGCAGTTGTGGTGTGGGATCCAGCCTCCCGAACCACCATACCACTGGCTGGCCCAGTTTTTTATATCTTTTGACATAGCTTTTATCTCTTTTTTGTCTATCATACCTCTTAGGGAAAACCCTGTTCTCCGGGACTTGGTACTTGTGTTTGACAGCTAGCTTAAGGTCAGGTAATGGATAGGGTATCTGTGCACAGAAATGTCTTAATTATGTAGGTGCTGTGATCCTTTATAAGCCTAATTTTCTTTTCCATCTTCTACCTTTTAGCACTACCTTGAGACTCTTGAGGTGGCGATGACAAAAATACTCATTTTCTCAAATGAGTGTTTTTGTTTTAAACTTGAAATATTACACAAGTGATAATTGACACAAGTATTAAGTTAAAATTTTTCGGTTGAATGTTTATTATTTGCCCATTTAGTGCTATCCCTGCTAGAGTTAGTAACTTTATTCAGTAAGTAGAAGTGGGGTGAGTACCCCTTCTGGCATTAAAGGGTTGGAGGAGAGATGTGGCAGGAGTATAGTAAAGGTCTGAATTATAGGAAATGACAGACTGACTGGGGATTTATAAGTTTATCGCCAGATGGCATTGAGGGCCTTTTCTGGCTGCATATGTATTGCCAAGCAATCTAGGTATAGGCTTACAAATGGTGGATGTATTCATTCACAATTGGAGTGTGGTTTTTTTTGCGTATAGTGAAGAATAGAGGGCCAGAAACTAAGTATCTGAAGTCAGGGAGTGGCTGAAGTCATGGAACATAAGGTTTAAGCCAATGAAGGCAAGGGTAATAATGTTGGGAAAAACAGTGGACTCTTGAGTCCAAAGAACTTAAAGAAGTTGAGAACCAGGTTTTATTTTATATGAGGACATATGGGAGCAGCACTGGGGAGATTTGATTTGGGAGGAAATAAATAGCACTTTTTTATGCCACACCTGCATATGGAACTAAATGAGGGGAAAACCTAGCACTCAATTAGATGGAAATCATAATATCAGCTTTGTTTCTGTTTGTACAATAAGTGTCAAATAATCAGAACTGGGCATCTTAGTCAGTCATGGCTCCTGTAACAAAATACCCTGGAGGAGTGGCTCAGTAATGAATAGAAAGGAATTTCTCAGTGTTCTGGAAGTCTAAGATCAGGACAGGCTGATTCAGTGCCTGGTGAGGACATGCTTCCTGGTTTGTAGATGGCAGTCTTCTTCTGGTATCTCTATGTGGCAGAGAGCAAAGAGAGAGGAAAAGCTTTCTCATGTCTTTTATCTGGGCATGAATCCCATTTAGGAGGGCTGTACCCTCATGATCTAATTACCTTCCAAAGAGCCCACTTCCTAACACCATCACATTATAATTTCAACTTAGAACTTTCAGATGAACAAATAGTAAGTGTAGAGCATTGGGGTTGCTAATATGTTACCTCTGTTTTCTATATAGTTATCCCATCTCTGGATAACTGTAGGCTTCCCTTCTCAGTGGTAAGGAATTTAACTACAAGGAGGGAGAAAATAGAGACGAGAGAAGAAAGGATAGTGCAGTTCTTTATTATTATTATTATCTTTAACAAAACTCAGAAATCAAATGAAGGCATACAACCATCTCTGAGAAAGACAGAGTAAAGAGGCAGAAGGAGTGACTGTGATTCTTTTTTTCTTATTCATGATAGAGAATATGTGTGTATGCAAGAGATGGGGGGAGGGAGGGAGAGGGAAAGAAGGGGAGAGCAGAGAGAGAGAGAAAAGAGTGAAAACATCCTCAACAGGATCTTCTCATGTCTCAATCCCCTTGTCCTAGCCCTTCAGCTTGTCAGATTCCTGGGCACATGCACACGTGCCCACGTGTTTAGGCTGACTGGGACTCTGAATTCAGGTCCTCTAGCTCTGTACCTCAGTTTGTTACCAAGTACACCACCAGGCTGGGCCTAGGGACATAATTCTAATGGATTTCCTTTTAGGTGGAAGCAGGAATAACGATAAAATAAAAGAAAGGTTGTGATACACAGTGGGATTTTTTACATTTAATATCAGATTTATAGGTAATCCATAAAATTACTTTAGAGAGTCTTGTTTACATTAATAATGTTCATTTTTTCATAGGTTTCAACTCATGATGAAAAAGAAAGAGTCAGATACTTCCATGATGACGATAATCTAAGCTTAAATGATTTAGTCAAAAATGAAAAGATGGGAACAGCAGAAAATCAAAACAAGCTCTTTATGAGAATGGCATCTAAGGTAAGATACATTCTTAGGACAGCACTGAATTTTGAGAAGGTGGTTCTTCCCTCTAATGATCTACTTTTCAGAAAGAGATGGTTCTCTTTAAGCTTGGTTGATTTGATTAAATATAATCCTTTTAAAGACATATTAGGAATATGCATTTTGGAATCGATTTGACTAGAGTATCAATTTGGGATTTGGGATTTTGCTTGCTTTGTAAATGTAAACTCTTATTTAGTTCTATATTCTGTGATGATGTTAATTCTATATTTGATGTATATTTAAGAGAAACTTTTGAGCCAGAGTTTAATGATTGGCAGTGTGCTGCTAGTTAAGTTGCCAGTCAGTTTTGTCTTAATAACCCTCCAACTCTTTATAATTATGCCGTGAGGAGGTAGAAGAAAATATTTGGAGTAATACAGATTGTTCAGAAGTTCTTGGAATCATCTTAAGTTTATATTAAAATATGTATTAGTTTAACTCATAATTATGGGTAGTGGGATTACTCTATGTATTATTCTTTGTCTTGTCCCTTTCACTGCAGTCAGTCCCTTCTAAATACTACTAACATTTTTTATAAAAGACACATAGCATTTTTTTAAAAAAGAATTATTTATTTTATTTATTATTATTGTTATTATTTAGTTTGCTGTAGGGCATATGCACTCATCAGAGACAGACAGAGAGAGAGAGGAAATGAGAAAGCAAGCTGGCAGGTCCAGGACTCAAACTCTGGTTGGCCATGTGGGAGTCTAGTGCCTTAACTACCATGCCATTGCATTTCAATTTAGTTGTATAAAAAGATTTGGCAAATTGGGACCCCAGAGGAAAAGTTTAGCTCACCATTTATTTTCTGCAAATAAAGTTTTATTAGAATACAATAGTGCACATGTATTTACATATTGTCTGAAGTTGCTTTTGTTTTATAATGGCTTGAGTTTTGAATATTGTGACAAAGATTGTATAGTCCACGAATCTGCAAATATTTACTTTCTAGCTCTTTACAGAAAAAAAAATGACCAAATCCTGCTCTGTAATACCAGTAATTACTTTTTTTTTTTTGGAGAGGTTTTTGCTATAGGGCGCGTGCGCTTGCCGGACAGACAGAGACAGACAGAGAGATAGAAAGTGAGAAATCACCCCCCAGAGGGGATGGTCACGCCGCAATCCCTTCTCCTCCATTCTCCTCTCGGGATCTTGGGCACGCACGCACACACGCCCGGCGTGAGTTTTAAGCCACCGGGTCTAGGACGCAAACCGCTGTCGACTACGTGGGAGTCCAGCGACATAGCCATTACGCCAACTGCTGGTTCCCCCCAGTAATTACTTTTTGATAGTGGCAGTTTGAATTGGGTATCTGAGAGACCAGGATGGGAGGGAGACCTTTTACTGCATACCTTTTCAGACGTATGCTTTTTTGTTTGTTTGTTTTTTAAACTCTGCAATATATTACTTGGTCAAAAATGAATGAAAAACTAAAATTAGGCAACAAGATATCTGTGTATGTATGTGTGTGACAAGGTGGGGCAACTGAAATAAACACTATTTTAAATAAAAATGGTCATCGTACCTATTACCAAGAGCTATATGGGATCTTAAATTTAGCCCATTAGGATACTTTCACCTTGGTTTATTTTGGGGAAAATACTGGAAATATCCTAGGATATTAACTTAAACACAGTATATTAGAAAAACAGAACATATTTTTGAATAAAATAAAGCAAAATAAAAGGAGATGGGGTTATAGTTTCAGTAGACTACAGAGAAAAAGCCTGTCTGCAGAGGTGTTGTTTCAGCAGACCCTGAACAGGAGTCTGAGGGAGTGGTCTATGTGAATGTCTGGGAGAATATTCCAAGCAGAAGAAATGGCACATGCAAAGGATCTGAAGCAGAGATAAGCTTGAAGAGCAGTCAAGAGACAGAAAGAGGGCAAGTGTGACTGGGAACAGAGATGAAGGGAAAGCAGGAGTTGAGATGAGAGACAAAGCAATCAGGTTGTAAGTCTTACAGGCCATGATGTGAGAATTTCTACTTTCATTTTTAAATGATAGAAAGCCATTTGATGCTTTCTTGGCAGAGTCATACTGTGATTTTGTTTATATTTTGACTGGATTTCTCTCACTACTCTTTTGAAAAGATAAGGTAGAGAGGCAAGAGTGGAAGCAGGAAAATCACTTAGGAGGGAATTATATTAGCTTAGATTAGGGTGGTGAAATTGGTGGGAGATACTCAGTCTGGGGGCAGTGCTGCTACCAGATATTGAAATAGGAGCGGGACAGCAGTCAAGAGACAGAAAGAAGACAGGTTGTGACTGGGAGTAGAGCTATGAAAGACAGGGGATGAAAGACAAAGAATACTGTTATGGATTTGTGAAATATGGAATGCCCACTACACATTCACATGGTGGTATGGAGTGACTGCCCCAGGCTATCAGTAGATGTCTACATTTGGATGCTGTTAGCATTTAAATAGTATTAAATGTTGTGGGACTTCAGAAATGAGAATTTGAAGAATGTGCCCATGGAGTACTATCTCAAAGAGAAAAGAAAGAATTTAGCAAGTGAAATCAGTAAAGTACAGCCAGTGAGGTAGGAGTAAACCTGAAGAGTTTGAAGTTTCAGAAGCCAGAGAAGACATCAAGAACGTTAGGAATAACTGTCAGCTGCTTCTGAGAGGCTAACATCTTTGAAGATGGGGAAACGACCACTGGATTCGATAATGTGGAGGTTTCTGGTGACTTCCGTAAGTGTGATTTTTTTTTTTTATATAATAAGAAAAGCCTGATTATATTGGGTTCAAGAATGTATGTGAGGAGTTGGCCTTAGAAAAGAGCTAATTACTGCCCATCAGTTATAACAGGAAGGACAGTATTGGTGTACAGATGCGGGTAGGTTCATACATTTTATAGGAGAAAAATGATCAAATTTTCTTGTTACCGCTTCTGTAAGTTGAGTGAAAAGACTGAAGCTATCAGCAGAGAGTGATGGTGGTGAAGAAATGTTAGGGACTTGAATTGGTCTTTGAGAATGAAGTGAAGTAGAGTTGCCAGGTGGTGCTCGGGCTTCATCTGAGGTTTATGGTTATGTATTTTTCTCTGCTGTGTTTGGATAGAGGCTTCTCTTTGAATCATGATACAGTCATCCTGATTTGTTCTGTATTTTTCTTATTTCACCAACATTGCTTGTTGCTTTAATTGTACAAATAAGCATGTTTGCCTGTATTTTTCTTATTTGTACATTATGAGAGTTTATAATATTTGTATTTAATAATCAACTGATTTGACCATCATTCCATTTTCATTTGGTCAGTTTCCTCGAACATTTTACATCTTTGACCTTTTTTTTTTAAAATTTAAGTTCCTGGGAACCAGCAGATGATGTAATGGTTACATCACTGGACTCATGTAGTTGACTGTGGTTCGAGTCCCAGATTTGATGAGTTAAAACTCAGGCTGGGCGTATGTTTGTGCATGCACAAAATCCTGAGAGGAGAATGGAGGAGAAGGGATTGCGTCATGGCTATCCCCCCGGGAGGAGGTTGATTTCTCATTTTCTGTCTCTCCGGCGAGTGCCCTATAGCAGAAATCTCTCTCTCAAAAAAATTAAGTTCCCTAAGGTAATACGTTATAGAAGCTAGAATACTATATACATTTACCAATGGTATTTGACCCTGAAAAATTCCATTCCCAGCCTATGTTACCTACAGCAGAAAGTTTGACTTATAAAATAATGTCCTAATTATATACAATGTCATGTTTTGGATTAGTTATCTGAAACTATTCTTGTTAAACTTATTTACAAAAAGGCTACCTAGAGTAGATAATAGTAAATGTTTCTTTCTCACTTTCATTTTTACACTATATAAAAATAAACACTTCTTGTTTTGTTCTTACGTGATTTAAATATTGCGTAATAATTTCAGAAGACATCAGCCAGAATTTATAGCATAAGTAAATCTATGGACCGGCAGACACTGAATGTGCAGTATTGATTGATGATTGTGTGATATGCAATCTAGACTTTTAAAAAATGTGTTGATTGACCAATTTATTATTTTTTTTAAGAATTATTTATTAAATTTTATTTATTATTATCATTCTTCAGTTTGACCAGAGAGAGAGAGAGAGAGAGAGAGAAAGAGAGAGAGAGAGAAAGACAGAGGAAGAGTGTGAGAGGGAGAGTGAGACAGCAAGCCACCAGGTCCAGGACTCAAACTGCAGTGAGCCACATGGGAGTCCAGCACCTTAATCAGCATGGCCCCTGATTAACCAATTTAGATAAGAGGACTTCAAAATGTTCATGGAAAAATGGAATAAAAGTATGAGTTTAATTTGGTGCAAGAAATCTTTAAATCCATTAATTTTACCATAATGGTTTATTGTAAGTTCAGTTTCCATTGCTTTTTGAAGACCCTTTGGATATTGTTGAATTTGTAGTAATGTTGTATAAAGATTTTGACAGAGATATTATTTTTATCTAAGCAAACTTTTATTTTTAAAATGGAGATGTTGATTTGATTGTAGCAAAGGAGAAAATGCAGTAAGCTCTTTTCTCATCCTGTAATGTGTTGACTTTTTGTGTCTTTTTTTTATTGCTATGGCCAAGATTAATTTGTAAGTAAGAGCAGGAAGAATAAGGGAATATGATAGGCTTGGATCATAGTATACAGGTGTTTTTAAAATTTATTTTGAAATACAAAGCAATGCCAGTCCTTTTTACCTTTTTGTAGTAGGGCTAATAGAGGTACAGGTTGCTATGGAAATGTTGATTTGGCGTTGTAATCTTCAGTTCATCCTGCCTAATAATTAACCACAACATAGTAACAATTTATCTTGTATGCTTAATAATTAAAATTGATTCTGTTAAAAATGTGAAGTGATACTAAAAGCTTAATAAAAAAAAAAACAAAAACATAGGGCCATTCTTATATCCTGGTGTTAAGGGAGCAGAATTCGATGTGGCTGTGTGGTTTGAGTCATGGTTTGGCAACTTGAAAAACGTGCTGGGAGTGTGTGC